GACAGCAAGGGCGGAGGCCACCAGGCAGGTGAGGTCAGTGTGTTCTGAGCCCCTCTGTTCTTTACCCTCTTAGTGCTGACGTGCAGGGAGATGAAGACCAGGTGGGGGGCTGTCAGTGAGGCAGGAAGGAGGGCAAGGAGAACCTTCCTGGCCAAAGACGGCAAGCCCGCTTTCTCTAGCCGTTCTCTATCACAAATACAAACCGCACATGCCTCCCTTTCTTCTTCTCCCTTTTAAATCCTTAAATCCGGTGATAACTGTTCCTTAATAAAAAAACACTGAAGAGGAACAAGGTGGCTCTAGGCTGACTAAGTGCCATCCTCCTTCTCACCTGTCTCCTCACTAGGGACCCTGAACTGGCAAGGTATAAAGAAAAGAAGGGGGACCCTGGACATAACCCACCATCATGAAAAAAAGAAAGAGGCAGCTGAGTGAGGCACGCACCCCTGAAACTCCACTCTTGTGCCCTGCACAAAGGACTGCGTTTTACCCCTCCAGGGTCAAGGACCCCAGAAGGCAATGTGTTTCTTGTGTTAGGCTGAACTGTCCAGGGACAGTCTACTGAGGAACACAGATGGGCCCCTCATCCTCTAGCCCAGGCAGGCTGGGCCAACCCTAACCACCCCCGACCACGCTCACCTCGCCCTTCTTCACGGTCATGGACTGTCGGCGGGGCGTGATCTCCTCGTTGATGCTGGACAGGAAGTTCTGAGAGATGCGGAGGGCGTCTTGCAGCAGAGGGTAGTCGGGGTGGCTGGAGGGTGTGTGCTTCAGCAAGTCCTGCATCGGGGCGAGAGGACTCAAGTTAGAGAGACTGAGGCCCTGGCACCCATCACTGTGCACAAACCCGACACACACTGGGTGTAACCAGGGCTGCTGGTTCCCCAGGCATCGCTGCCACCTCTCACAAAGAGCCCAAGGCTACGTGGACAGCACTTGTATGAGCACCATTCTGGAAGCAGGGCCTGAATGGCACTCCCACAAGCTCAGGCTGTTTGAACGCTACCAAGAGGGGCTCCCACCCTAAGGACTCCACCATGGCACTGGTGACATTCTGGGCTGGAGGATTCTTTGTTGGGGGGCTATCCTGTGCACTGCAGGATGTTAAAAGCACCCCTGGCCTCTGTCCACTAGATGCCAGTAGCACCTCTTCATCTGCAGCTGTGACAACCAAAAATGTCTCCAGACATTGCAGCATGTCCCCTAGGGGGCAGAATCGGTCCTGATTCAGGACCACTAGTCCATGCAAGGTCAGGAGAAAACCCTCCGCCTCCCCAGCTCCTACTCTTTCAGATAAGAACCTAAGAATTAAGATAGGAGTGTTGACTATTTCTCCACTAGGAATGCACATGATTTGTGCTCAAGGTCAACAGCTCCCTGGTTCAGAGAAACAAAATCCCCTTAGCTCCCAAACCCTATGTGCAAAGAGAATCTGGATAAATGGACGAAGCATGGAGGAAGACTTGCGTGTAGGTGGTCCCAGGCCAGCCCCACACCGCTCCCAGGCGGCTCTGGCTTCTCCCTGTCAAGGTGCTTGGCTATGCAGGCCTGGGCTAATCACAGCAAGGGGACAGAATACAGGGTCTCCAAGACTCCGACCGGCCACCTGCTAGAGCCTTCCAAACCACAAATTTCATTTCATCTCCCTCCGTCCAATAACCCTTAATCAGAGGAAGGTAAGAAATTTTGAAATGTCCATTTGATGAAACACTGCAAGGCTTAAAAAAGGCTGAAGCAGAGCTGTTTGGGCCAAAGTGGGACAATCCCCATGATATGCTATTAAGGTGAAAAAGAGCAAAGTGTGAAATAATATGTACAGCACTTCTGTGTAATTAAAAAAGATGTTCACGTGAGTCGGCACATGCATCAAGAATCTTGTGGTGGCGGCGCCTTTGTGGGGAGGAAGTGGGAAAGGAAACAGAAACTTCACACACTTTTGAGGCTCAGTTGTAAATTTAAAAAAACAACACATGTACAATTTGCTCTAAATATATGGGAACAGAGTCACCTGGGCAGTAGGATTAGGGGCCGTTTCTCTGGTTTTGTTTCTTAGTATTAAGAACCCCTTCAGTGACTCCCCACTGCCGTCAGGAGTAGCCCTACTGAAGCAGGGCTTCCCCCAAGCACCCTGTCCCCAGGCTGGGAGGCAGTGGTCATCCCTAAGGCCCTGGAACACACCCAGCATCCACACCCCTACTCCAACTACCTTGGAAGCCCAGTTCACGCGATGTGACCACAAAACCCTTCCCACGTGGGATGGGACACTCTCTCCCTGTGCCTACTCCTATGAGCACCCAGCACACCTGGAGAGCCTGCTCCAGACCTCCCTCCATCCCTCTGTGAGCCTCTGGACAGCAAGGGAACCTCATTTCTGCATCTTTAATAAAGGCATGTAGCAGAAAAAAAGGGGGGAGTAGGTGGGAAAAACTGACAAACATAGTGTCAGCCCCAGGATAGGAGATGCCAAGAACCCCTGGGTGAGTAGTCCCGGGGAGTAGTGACTCACATGCAGGACCAGCGTGCTGCGTGTCACCCGGTCCACAGGCTTGTAGAGCAGGGCTGCAGAGAGACGGGAAGCATGAGATGGCCACACGCGGAGACAGCAGACCCAGACCACCCACCTGTTCATCTTCGCTATACGGGGTTGTCTAGAAGATGGCGCAGCCTTACCTTCCCACTGACAACGGCAAACCCAGAGCATCCTTTGTACAGTGACAAGGGCAAGCCTGGTCAAGAGCACCTCAAAGGCCAGGGTCCATGCTTTGAGCTTTTAGTCTGTGACATTAAATGTCCAGTCTAGAGCTGCTGGTCAGAATCCAAGTCCACATGGCTGACTCAGGGGCAACTGTTAAAAGGGCTCAGCATAGATGCCTACCCCTGGGGGCTGGGGAACCTGCCAGCACCCTGGTGAGGACAGGAGGGAGACCTGCTCTCCAGCTCAGAGCGTTTCCAGGAGCAGACCAGCACGCCACTCTCAACATCCATCCCTGCACAGTTTGGAGGCCTGATTATGAGAACAGCAGGAACTGACTCAGGTGTCAACATAGCTCTCGGCGTTACAGGTGTTTATGGATACCTGGACTCCAGTAGCACAGGAGCCCCAGCCAACCTTGGCTATTCCCACTTCTCTGGTGAGCCTGGCCCATCACAGGCACACAGGCTTGGATGTGTTCTGACACACAGTCAGGTGTATTTCCTCATGTGATTCCCACAACTAATGTAGGACATGCATCGTTACCCCCATTTCATAGACGGGGAAACTGAGGCTCAGAGTGTGGTGAAAACTCTGGGCACCAGAGACACTCTTCTCTGCTCTTCTCCCACTATCCTAACAACTGGAAGTTACCTGTTGTTCCTGACCCCATTTTCCACCCAGAGAGGCGGAAGCTGAGCACACAGGCTATGTGTTCTGGCTTCACCCCATGCCAGGCCACTTAGGAACCGCCATTCTACATGGGTTACATTTATCCTCAACCTGTTTTGCCAGAGAACGGAACATAAACTCCTCCTTACAGGGCTGTTGGGGATAACACGATGACATTTTTAAAGCCCAGCAGGGCCTGGCTTGTGAGTGTTCCCTAAGGTCTACCATTCTTCCTGGTCTTGACTATTGGTGGCAAGCTGGTCCTGCCCGGGTCCTTCCCCACCCCGCCACACCGGGTGCCGCTATTTCCTTGTCCCTGCTATCACTATTGGAAGTCTGCAGCAGCAAAGGTGCCAGAGGGTGGCCCTGCAGGGCGGGTGTTTGCTTTCCCAGCAAATGCCTCATCTGCTTGCAGAGCCACTCCCACAGGGCAGGAAGGGGCCTCAGCACAGAGAACTCACTTTCCAAAGAGTTCTTGGTTGTTTGGTCCTTGGCATCCTTGTTGCTTCTGGCTCTCAGGTTCTGCAAAGAAAAAAAGCACATTTTCAGGGGACAACTAAAGCAGCTTTGATGTGGCAGGAAGTTCCACAGTCAGGAACCTTCAGCAGAAATCTCACCCTTCTCTCATGTAACAAACCCCTAGATACGACAAGCCTTGAGGGTGTGTCCTGGGCTGTAGCATGAGAAACAGGACAAGCTGTGGTTCACCTGGGACAGTTTCTCAATCTTGGCACCAGTGAGAGTTCAGGCTGGAAATTCTCTTATTTTAGGGGGTTGTCCTGGATGTTAGGCAGCATTCCTGGCCTCTATCTATGGGTGCAGTAGCACCCCCTCCTGTTATTGTGACAATCAAAAATGTCCACAGGCATTGCTAAGTGTCTCTTGGGGACAAAATCACCCCTGGTTGAGAATCTCTGACAGAGAGAATCCTGTGAACTCAGGCAAACCGCAGGGCCCTTCCCAAATGCACAGAACTGCTTTCCTAGAGCAGTGAAACAACGTGCTGAGGCTGGTGGGCCCAAAAAGCACACTCACCTTTGGAGATGGCAGGGGCTCCACTGAGACCCATATTAGATTCCACCTCCACTTACCCTTTCCCAGCTTAGCAAACGTACTTGCTAACGAATGAGGTGCTGAGAGTCCTGGGAGGAGTGCAGTGCTTTTTAGTGGGTAGGTCATATGTGACACAATTGCATCAAAGGCATGGTTTACATTTGTTAATGTAAGGCATCACTTGACTTGGTCCAAAGCACTCAGGGAAATGAGGATAAAAGATCTCCGTGTGCCTAAAATTGTCTCTGGAAAGCAGCTGTGGTTACTCCCAGTACTAGGCTTCTGAACAAAAAAACAGCACAGGGACAGGAAAGGGCTCAGAGATCGCTTTCCAAACCTCTTGGCCGGAAACCTCTCAGGACTAAAAAAAGATGGTGTTTTTAAGCTCACTGGGGCCAAACTCCACAATGCAGTTTGGTACCTTTCCTGAGAGTTTAACGCCCCTCGCAGTGATTATTCTTCCATACGTCAGCCTCAGCAGTTGCCGAAGGATGTGAGGGGGTGCAAGAGCAAAACCTGAGGCTGCAAAAATCAGGTGCTNCCCAACCCTTGCGAACATGTTCCCAGCAGGAGAAGCAAGAAATGGGGCTCCGCTCAGTGCCTAAGACTCGGGTAGTGCGCTCAGCCAAAAGGGGCACATCCCCCTTTTTGAGACCACCTACCACCAGGTAGCTCTTTATGCAGGGATCAGAGGGAGGGGTGGCCAATCCTATCGGTTCAGAGGCGGGGGAAGGGGAACTATAATAAATCATAACCCACATACTGAGGTGTGTGGTGCACACAGGTGCCAAGGGACATCAGGCCTCACATCCTGCCTTAGCTATTTAGTGGCTGTGTGACCATGGGCAAATCATTCAACCTGAGCCGCAATTTCCTCACCTGTAAGAAGGGAGAACACCTCTGACCTCACAGAGTCATCATGAGAACTCAGAAGCACAGTTCCTCTCTTCCATTGGAAAAACTAGAGAGCAGCACACATTCCAGGCCACCCAGTGGATGAGTTTGCAGCAATGCTCGGATCAGATCCCCGTGTTGGCCTAGCTCTCGGGCCCAGGGAGTAGAGTAGAGAGGACAGCTCTCTCCTCCACAGCCCTTCCTGGGCCAGGCTGACCAAGCCACTCACTTGCAGTCAAGCCTGATGAGAATCGGGGCACATGGGAGCTTTCCACTAAACACACAGAGAACCACTTCCCAAAGAGGTGTGGGGAGGATGGGGTCAGAGCAGCCTGTCTACCAGCCCAGGGTGGGAGGAGGAAAAGAAAACCTGGGTGCTGGGCAGGTCAGGCCCTGGCACCAAGCACCTGGCATACAAACCGCAAGAAAGAGGAGGAAGTGGCTCTCGGCAGCAGCTACAGTCAAGTTCACTGCCAGCCCTTGCCCTGACTGGGCTAGATGGCTCCTGTCCCTGCACGAGACCCCAGAGGCCACAGGTCAGCTCCCCTCGCCTTAGTGCCACTTCTGACAAAGGATGCTCATGATGGATGCTGGCTCCCCCACTGCCACACCTCTGCCATCTCACTACATGTCATTTGCCCTGGACAGCACCTGCCTGGCATCATGCTGGACTCCTCCCAGGAAGAGGCGGAGACAGCAAGGGCGGAGGCCACCAGGCAGGTGAGGTCAGTGTGTTCTGAGCCCCTCTGTTCTTTACCCTCTTAGTGCTGACGTGCAGGGAGATGAAGACCAGGTGGGGGGCTGTCAGTGAGGCAGGAAGGAGGGCAAGGAGAACCTTCCTGGCCAAAGACGGCAAGCCCGCTTTCTCTAGCCGTTCTCTATCACAAATACAAACCGCACATGCCTCCCTTTCTTCTTCTCCCTTTTAAATCCTTAAATCCGGTGATAACTGTTCCTTAATAAAAAAACACTGAAGAGGAACAAGGTGGCTCTAGGCTGACTAAGTGCCATCCTCCTTCTCACCTGTCTCCTCACTAGGGACCCTGAACTGGCAAGGTATAAAGAAAAGAAGGGGGACCCTGGACATAACCCACCATCATGAAAAAAAGAAAGAGGCAGCTGAGTGAGGCACGCACCCCTGAAACTCCACTCTTGTGCCCTGCACAAAGGACTGCGTTTTACCCCTCCAGGGTCAAGGACCCCAGAAGGCAATGTGTTTCTTGTGTTAGGCTGAACTGTCCAGGGACAGTCTACTGAGGAACACAGATGGGCCCCTCATCCTCTAGCCCAGGCAGGCTGGGCCAACCCTAACCACCCCCGACCACGCTCACCTCGCCCTTCTTCACGGTCATGGACTGTCGGCGGGGCGTGATCTCCTCGTTGATGCTGGACAGGAAGTTCTGAGAGATGCGGAGGGCGTCTTGCAGCAGAGGGTAGTCGGGGTGGCTGGAGGGTGTGTGCTTCAGCAAGTCCTGCATCGGGGCGAGAGGACTCAAGTTAGAGAGACTGAGGCCCTGGCACCCATCACTGTGCACAAACCCGACACACACTGGGTGTAACCAGGGCTGCTGGTTCCCCAGGCATCGCTGCCACCTCTCACAAAGAGCCCAAGGCTACGTGGACAGCACTTGTATGAGCACCATTCTGGAAGCAGGGCCTGAATGGCACTCCCACAAGCTCAGGCTGTTTGAACGCTACCAAGAGGGGCTCCCACCCTAAGGACTCCACCATGGCACTGGTGACATTCTGGGCTGGAGGATTCTTTGTTGGGGGGCTATCCTGTGCACTGCAGGATGTTAAAAGCACCCCTGGCCTCTGTCCACTAGATGCCAGTAGCACCTCTTCATCTGCAGCTGTGACAACCAAAAATGTCTCCAGACATTGCAGCATGTCCCCTAGGGGGCAGAATCGGTCCTGATTCAGGACCACTAGTCCATGCAAGGTCAGGAGAAAACCCTCCGCCTCCCCAGCTCCTACTCTTTCAGATAAGAACCTAAGAATTAAGATAGGAGTGTTGACTATTTCTCCACTAGGAATGCACATGATTTGTGCTCAAGGTCAACAGCTCCCTGGTTCAGAGAAACAAAATCCCCTTAGCTCCCAAA